GACCTGTTTTGAGACTGACTGATCTAGATCATGCGTCTTTATAAGCATTAAACCAAACCCCTGTTGCAGAAATGAGTGTTCCCAGCTGAATTAATGAATGGTGTGTAAAATAATATCCACCTTTAGACAACGAAACAATATAAGCATGTGATTCTCACGGCACAGTTAAAATACCTGTGCATGTTTTTTTTCCTCCTTGGGTTCTAAACAAAGCTTTACAACTTCTCTACACTGTCCACACAATATTACACTTCCATATAAACAATAATCACAAAAGCTTACTAACTTCACTCTGTTAAAATGTTTTCATTAGTATAACATCCTTGTTCCCATCCAGTCCGCGTTTCACACTACAATATAATTTTGTCATTTCTTTATAACTTTAGGAGTTACTATATTTTAAAAATTGATTTTCTTAGTTACTAGTTAAATTTGAAGAGGTCAAAAAGCGAAAAGGACATATCACTGCAGGTTGTATGATGGCATTTTACTTAAAAGTTTAAGGCAGCAACTGAACTTCAACACAATATGGACTAGGAAACTGTTTTATTTAAAATGATTTCACAACGAAAAGAGTTTACATTTAATGAACCATTTAGGATATCACGAAACCACTACATTTTAAAATAAGCATGTACTTATTAAAGAACTTTTGCAGTGATACTTTCAACATAACCCTGGATTTGTCATGGTTACAAAATCTGAATGTATGTAGGCTATTTTGCTGTATTTTCTAGAATCATTAAAATAGGAGAATGTCGGGTTAATGTTACTTTGTTCCGTTTCGTTCAGTAAGTTACACCATACTTTGAAACTACGCATAGGTAAATATATACTTTTTCACTTTTCTGCATAGATGTCCAACTTTGAATAGTTACAAAGAGTGCGAATACTTGCAAAACTTGGTTGAAACGGCTGTGCTGTATAAACTCAATTTTCATCTGGTGCGCTGCGTTAGTTAAGGTTATGTGTAGGTATAATCGATTAAGGAGAATATTACCATACCGTTTGTCGTCATAACAGGAAAACCTACGCAGAGTCGTCAAATCTTTACGCAATGCATTATCATGGGATATTATTTATTCACGCTTTCTCCAGCGCCGCATTCCAAATTGATGTAAGCGAGCCTCTGAAGAATGGACGATACCAAACCACGCGAACTAAAGGTGTTACGTCTAACGTAGATTATCGTTGATGGTTCTGATAATAGAAATAACATTTAAAAGAAATTCGTAATGCAACAAAATTAACATAAGACGTCTGAAGAAATGCGAGACCTGTCTTTTTATTCTATGTGCGTTACGACGGCACGTTTATGGAAACTTAAAACCATACCCCCATGTCACAATGGTACGCCCCTCACCCCTCCAGAAACTTTTTTCACAGCACTGACTGAACTAGCGATGGGAAGTCCGACTCATTTTCACGAATCGGCTCTTTTGAACAACTAGTTTAAAATAAATTGTTAAAAACGATTATATACTGTTTAAATAATTGCAGTTTATCGCTTACTACATTAACAATAATTATTATATTATAGTATTAACATTTTACTAATAAGTGTGATTATTATCATTTCAATTCTGTTTGATGCAACCACGATAACGTAACTTTTAGCTATTAACTAGGCTCATTACAAATCTGACTTTTTTCTTTTAATAGTCAGTTGAACTGTTGACTCGTGAATTAATTGTTCAGACCGATTGTGTGAACCGGTTCATTCACAAATCGGACACTGTTAGATAAACACATGCTGAGCAGCAGCATAGTAAGATCCTTTATTAATGGCTTAAATCATTTGCAAACGACACGTCAGCAATGTATTGGATAGGAAATGAGGGCTTTTGTAATTTCTATAAAATGAGCCGTTGACTGCATGCAGTCGGATCTTTTGAAAAGCAGGGAAGGTAGAATGTAACGTTAATGTTCCATTTGATGGGACTGCAGGGTGCTGGTATGGCAAGCCCTTTTGACTTTTATTCATTCTCAGGATCTGAATTCTTGATATCAACAATTCAATTTTTACTAGTTAAAATGTTCATTCTTGATATCAGGAATTAGATTTCTACTAGTAACAATTGCTATTTTTGATATCAGCAACTACATTTCCACTAGTAACAATGTTAATTCTTGATATCAACAATTCAATTTTTACTAGTTAAAATGTTCATTCTTGATATCAGGAATTAGATTTCTACTAGTAACAATTGCTATTTTTGATATCAGCAACTACATTTCCACTAGTAACAATGTTAATTCTTGATATCAACAATTCAATTTTTACTAGTTAAAATGTTCATTCTTGATATCAGGAATTAGATTTCTACTAGTAACAATTGCTATTTTTGATATCAGCAACTACATTTCCACTAGTAACAATGTTAATTCTTGATATCAACAATTCAATTTTTACTAGTTAAAATGTTCATTCTTGATATCAGGAATTAGATTTCTACTAGTAACAATTGCTATTTTTGATATCAGCAACTACATTTCCACTAGTAACAATGTTAATTCTTGATATCAACAATTCAATTTTTACTAGTTAAAATGTTCATTCTTGATATCAGGAATTAGATTTCTACTAGTAACAATTGCTATTTTTGATATCAGCAACTACATTTCCACTAGTAACAATGTTAATTCTTGATATCAACAATTCAATTTTTACTAGTTAAAATGTTCATTCTTGATATCAGGAATTAGATTTCTACTAGTAACAATTGCTATTTTTGATATCAGCAACTACATTTCCACTAGTAACAATGTTAATTCTTGATATCAACAATTCAATTTTTACTAGTTAAAATGTTCATTCTTGATATCAGGAATTAGATTTCTACTAGTAACAATTGCTATTTTTGATATCAGCAACTACATTTCCACTAGTAACAATGTTAATTCTTGATATCAACAATTTGATTGTCACTAGTGACAATCAAATTGTTGATATCAAGAATTCATATCCTGAGAATGAATAAAAGTCAAAACGGCTTGCCATAGTGCTGGTGCCTTTTATTAACATATGAAAGGTTTCACCTTGAAAAGGAGACCGTCTCACAGTAAATGCTTACGCTCCAGTCACAGAAAAGAGAGAAATGTTCATTGATTTGACCAAGCATGTTTGAACATAGAATAACTTTCCAGTGTGGTATTCTGTTTTCTTGTTTTACAAGGTAGAGCCGATTACCTAAAGTGTCATATAAAATCGAAGTTAATCATGTGTACACCGTAGTGGATATCTTGTTCCATGTTTCGCAAGTTTCATACTTGGTTAGTAAAACAGGTTTCGAGACATTTGTAAATCTTGTATTAGCGTTCTTATTTATATAGTCGACGATGTCAACAACATTGATTGGACAATTGACCTATCGGTAAGCCCCTCCCCTCGAACACTGATGAGCCAATGGCAGTCGAGTATCAGATGCACGGGGAGTGTAACGCGGACATTAGGTTTCAGAGAAACATTGGAAGATACGATGCTGGCATCGGTTTAAAAGGGGTCATATGATGTTGCTAAAAAGACATTTTTTTGTATTTGGTGTAATGAAATGTGTTTATGCGGTTTAAGGTTCAAAAACACATTATTTTCCACATACTGTACATTATTGTTTCTCCTCTATGCTCCGCCTTTCTGAAACGCGTCGATTTTTACAAAGCTCATCGGTCTGAAAAGCGAGGTGTATACACTTGTTGGTGTGTGGCGAGGTGTGCTCTGATTGGCCAGCTATCCAGTGTGTTGTGATTGGCCAAATACCTCAAGCGTGTGACGGAAATGTTACTCCCCTTACCATACTGTGATGCCGTGTTCGGCCGGAGCAACGAGACAAAAACATTCAAACCCATTATAAACAAGGCATTTGTTGCATCCAGTGGGGACATAATTACGGATTATAATGACTTATACTGTCTCGCGCCGTGTAAACATAAAACGTCTCAGGTTACTTATGTAACCATGGTTCCCTGAGTAGGGAACGAGACACTGCGTCCTCTAGGGGTCGCTATGGGGAAACGCCTCGTCGTGACCCGTGTCTGAACAATAGTATCCAGCTGCAGACCCGCAGCACCAGCAGTTTCAGAACCACAGCCACAGAACCGGAAGTGAGGGGCGGAGCTTACATTTTTTTAACAGAGTAGCGCCACCTTACGGTTTTTAAGGGGTAATTTGCTTTTAGTACACACGATACGTCATACTTTATGTATGCATTTTATAATGACATATTAAGCATTTTAGAAACATTAATCTTGTGTAATTTATTTGTAGACCTATACAGTTTTTCGTTTCATTGTATTATGCGAGTAATTTCCTGTTTGTGATATTAAAAATAATGTTTGAAACTTCTGGGCATTTTATATGAAATATACTTTAATCACAAGGTTCAAAATAAATGTTTACTCTAAAGTCAAGAACACGTGCATCATACATTTTTCTATATGAAAACTAAAACATTTCAATAAAACACACACAAACAGCAGCATATTTTTAAAAGTAACGATCAAAATGTACACAATTAAATTGAATTTTATAAAATGAACAATTCACTATTAAGCCCATTTTGTCATGACAATCCTGCATGAAACCGTACAAAATGAACAATTCACTCTTGGGCACATTTTGACGTGACAATCCTACAAAAATAACTCCCCTGAACACAAGATGAAATATGAAGGGCACTCTGGAAACTTCTGTTCCAGGAGATTGTTGAGGGCCTTTTCCTTGTCCTCTTCCTCCATTATAAGGAAAAGAGGCTCTTCCACTGGCCCCCTGAGCAGATGTCTGTTTAATGGAGCCATTTCACAACTTCTGTGAGATTACTGGGATCTCCTTCATTACAGAATATTAAAGGAAAATGTAACTTTAATATTTCTTATTAATGTGTATAGATAGATAGATTTGAGACATACCTCACAAGCGTAGCCCGTTATCCAATTGGAAGGGCCGCTTGTAGGGTTTCTGCACTGTAATATACATGTACCTTGGTTAATTTCAAATTTCAAAGAGAGAAAACCATCTGGAGTCCACCATCTCAGTATGATTGGAATGTCACACTGGAAGACACAAACATAGAGAAATCTTTAAATATCAACTGCTACAACATCATAAAGGTCCATTACGTTAACTGATAACTACTTACAGATGTAAAATCAAAGGGTGCTCCCAAGACAAGATGTACTGGAAAACAACAAAAAAAAAAGAATATTCTTCCTGTAAATGGCACCAAAAAACCTTCCTTGTTCCTTATTTAACAACTAAATAATCACACCAATAACTGGTTGCAAAAATGTATAGTATAGCCTAAAATAAATAAATA